AATAGATAAGCACAAGAATCTAACAAACTCCAGCCAGGAGAATCCTACTAAACCTTTTCTTCTTCTTTGAAGTAAATTCTCTTTTTTGAAAGCAATTTCTCTTTCAGAGAATTGAATTAAAAATTGGTAGGCTAAAAAAAAAAAGCAATATTTTTTTTTTATGCACGGCACGAATTAAAATTCATCTTCAAGTTGAACAATAGACATGGACTCTTTACTATCATTTCTCTGAATGGATGAGGGTTTTTCTTGAGAAAAATACATTGGGATAAATATTCAGGTAGGAAACATTCAGTTATACAAATGCCGGACACAGCCCAGTTCCCTGTTTTCCAGTATATATACATGTTTTGTCTTAAAATACGCCTTCTTCTCCTTCTCCTTCTCCTTCTCCTTCTCCTTCTCCTTCTCCTTCTCCTCCTCCTCCTCCTCCTCCTCCTCCTCCTCCTCCTCCTCCTCCTCCTCCTCCTCCTCCTCCTCCTCCTCCTCCTCCTTCTTCTTCTTCTTCTTCTTCTTCTTCTTCTTCTTCTTCTTCTTCTTCTTCTCCTTCTCCTTCTCCTTCCTTCTTCTTCTTCTTCTTCTTCTTCTTCTTCTTCTTCTTCTTCTTCTTCTTCTTCTTTCTTCTTCTTCTCTTCTTCTTCTTCTTCTCTCTTCTTCTTCTTCTTCTTCTTCTCTTCTCTTCTCTCTCTCTCCTCCTCTCTTCTCCTCCTCCTCCTCCTCCTCCTCCTCCTCCTCCTCCTCCTCCTCCTCCTCCTCCTCCTCCTCCTCCTCCTCCTCCTCCTCCTCCTCCTCCTCCTCTCCTCTCTCTCCTCCTCCTCCTCCTCCTCCCTCCTCTCTCCTCCCCCCTCCTCCATCCCTCCTCCCCCTCCCCCTCCTCCTCAAAACATTTGAGGGCAAGTCCAGATCCTGATGAAGTCCTATAGGCAGGCCAGGAAAAAATATTTGACCAAACATCCAAAGAAATGGCTTGCCGAAATTTGTACGGTGATTCATTCATTCATTCTTATGATTGAACGATGCATGTGAAATCTGTCTGTCTTTGTCAACCTCTCCCATCTGCCTAAAAGCCCCTCTTGGTGGGTGAGTGTGAACCGTGCACAGGTGCCGGCACCAACACCGCCAATTTCTTTGCAAGCTTTCCCAATTGCCAAAAGATGATTCTGTTTGTTTTCACATGGCTGTGCCGGAGGCCAAGGAACCTTGGCTAGATCGAGCACATTGAAAGCGACCGTGTGTATGTGCGTGTGTGCATGCCTGGAGAGATTCACATAAGCAGAGTTTTTAAACCTGGTGCATGAAAGCTGATGGCTTGCTCAGAAACCATATGCTGCTTCTCCCATACACAAATCCCAGGAACGGTGTGTGTGTGTGTGGGTGGGTGTGGGTGTGGGGAACCTTCTGTATCTTCAACCACAGTTTGCACAAACACAAACACACACACACTCCCACTTCTTCCTATGTGGAAGGTTTTCTAATGCCAGGGACATACGATCATTCTCACGGGACACAGAAGCAGGGAGAGGATGGGGGGGGGGGGAAATGCCTCTGGTCTTTGTCTCTGTTTAATTCAGTGCAATTCTCTGGCCCTGGACTTTATGAATAGTGGCTTTGTGCAGGACTTTCCTAAGCCTCAACTGCGGGCACTTCTCCCATCCCTCCACCTTCTCTGCTCCGTGGTCTCTCCCTTGTTTCCCACCATCGGTTGCCTATTAGCAAACTAAATTATTTTTTCTCCCCTCCTGATGGTTTTTTTCCCCTGCGTTGCCCTCATTGATGGGAAAACAAAAGGATTTGTAGCCGGGGTACAAACTCAGCTGGAGAGGAGAAAGAGTGGTGGGGGGGGCAGGAATTAAAGATGCAATGATGATGATGATTTTGCTGCGTGTGCTTGGGGTGCAAAAAAGAGACCAAAATTAGTTATTTTTAAAGGCTCCCCCTTTTTTCCCCCTTTCCTTTCCTTTTTCTCCTTTCTCCTTAGCATTCTTCTTAATTTATGGGTAAGTGAGAATGTCGAGGAGATACATGGTTTGCTAGCTTGAAACATGCAGGTGTGTTTGTGAGGGAGTCTGCAGAAGACTAATGTTTCCACCAGTTGTCTGGAGCTGAATTCTGCCAGCTCACAGAAAGATCAAGATAAGTTTGTTTTTGTTTTTTTTAAATCTACAGTCAAAAGAAACTCTTTCTGGACTCCTTCTGCAACACTAGACTGTAGTTTGGATGAAGAGATAACCTCCTCCTGTGTTAAGGAACCTACAAAAGAGCTAAAAAGAAAGGGGGAAAAATGTACCAGGAATTTGCTAAGGGAGCAATCATAACTTTATTCCTTAGGCCTCGGTAGGAAGAGAGCAAAGGAGAACTTTCAGCAAAAGGTGTGTTGAGGCATTTGGATTCAAATCCCTCTCTTTGTGTGCAAGATCATGAAACAAGTACAAGAGGTTGGAACTGGCGTTGTGACACAACACATATTTTCCTGTTTTAGTGTCAATAGACCAGAGTAGAGTAGAGTAGAATAGCATAGAGTAGAGTACAGTGTAGAGTAGAGTAGAATAGTGTAGAGTAGAATAGTGTAGAATAGTGTAGAGTAGAGTAGAGTAGAGTAGAATAGAATAGAATAGAATAGAATAGAATAGAATAGAATAGAATAGAATAGAATAGAACAGAACAGAACAGAACAGAACAGAACAGAACAGAACAGAATTCTGTATTGCCCAAGTGTGATTGGACACACAAGGAAGTTCATCTCTGGTGCATATCCCCTCAGGGCACATGCAAACAACAACAAAGTGATAAGTCATAGATAAGAAATCATAAGATACAATCATGTCATAAGATACAAACGACAATTGATAAATCATAATATACCAATAGCAGAAGGTTGTAGGAAAGATGAGAGGCGAAAAGAGAAGGATTTGAGAAGATGGGAAATATAAGAAGGTGACCAGGATAATAGCAATAGAGCCTACTACATGGGTAAATATCTTCAGGCATAAGACAGTGCTGTGGGAGTTAGAGGTTTAGCAGAGGTGTTTAATTATGATTAGGAATAGACTCCTATTGCTTTGCCCTTCTCCGTGACAATGTTTGGCTTTGTGAATGTTGTTCAATATCTCACATTCTTGAGGAAAAGACTGATTTAGCAAGATACAAAAATGTTGCCTGTCTAGGCTGGGGTGCCAATCTCTTAACGGCCAAAATAGACTCAATTTTTTTTTTTTGATAGGGTGTATGGGGCAATGAAGGCAGAACAAGAATCAACTTACTTTTCTCCCTATATTTGGGGATCATCCCCTTTATCTTTTTAAATGATAGACATAATTTTGTGCTGATGTCACTCGGAGGTCTTTTTCTTTTGTTTTGTTTCCCATCTCAAATGTTGTTCTGGGAGGTCATGCCCATCTCCATGTAAACGAAGGGTTTCAATTCCCTATGAATTCCTGCACGTGTCATCCAATGCTATTTTTTTTCTCTTCTACACCCGTGCACGGGTAAAAATTAAGCTAGAGTGGGGATGAGGGGTGGTGGAATTGCCCTACTACTTACTTTTGGACAGTTGTAGCCAGGCCTCATACACCCCGACACCTGCCTCGCCGGCCCATTTCTTCTGCAGCTGGCAATGTTGGCAAGGCTTTCCTGAAGGCCTCTGTAGCTGATAACAAAGCTCTGGATCGATCCGGAGCTCTGGTATCAGCTGCAGAGGCCTTCAGGAAAGCCTTGCCGGCCACAGAAGAAGAAGTTCCTGAAGGCAACTGACAGCAAAAAGGAGGCCGTGGGTGACACACGCAAGCGAGGTTGGTCAGTGAATGACATCCCCTGAAAATAAGACCTGGTGCCTTTTTTTGGTGGCAAAAATATATATAAGACAGGGTCTTATTTTCGGGGAAACATGGTACTACTGTTAAATATTAGGAGACTTCCTGATTTTTCAGCATGTGTTATTTTTCAGAATGTATATATGTATATAAAGAATGCATAAATCTCTCTTCTATTTTTTTGGGTGGATATATAAGGCATCCAATTTTTGCATGTATTAAAAATATCTGTATAAATTCTGCAAGGCCTATCCTTGGATGAGGATAGGAGATCCATAACATTATTTTTGCACTTTTCCTTGTAAATTTACCATTGAATTGCCATCCTGCCGCCCCCCAAAGTCTGCGTTTACTGTCTTTTTCTACTATTCATTTAAATAGTGTGGTACAAATGGTGTCCTCTGATCAACCACATTGGGAGTGGGAGTACTGATGTTTGGTTCCTATTGAATCCAGCAAGATAGGTAGCAAAAGGTTAATTCTCACCCAATTAGTGAGTTGTGAATAGCTAGGAACAAAGTGCCAATTATCTTGGTGGCAGATGGGTTCATGCTTCAACTCCTAGAAGCAAGGTAGACTTATCCATGTCAAAGATGTGACCAAAATTATATATATATTAAAAGAAACCCAAGAGCAAGCAAGTTATCTAACCGAGTCTGACCAAGATGGGTTTCTTGACAAGGGGAGGGTAAGCTTATCCAGAATCAACTTCTATATTCAAAACAGCAAAAAGGGAGGAAAACATGGGAGTTTTCAGCACCTGGGAGAGCTCCTGGAGGGAAAAAGTTGTTGCCCTAAAGTTTCCAAAATTCGATTTTTTTGCAAGCCAACACAGGAAGGGTCAGAAATCACTGATGTTTACAAAAGAAACATCTCACCTTTTTGTTTAATGATTGACTCTTATTGAGCAGTAAAGTTGTGATACAGATATACATGGGGAAAAAGCCCAAATGTAATAGAAGGAAAATCTCTCTCTTTTACTCCCCTCCTAATGTAAAACTAGAACCTATCCTATTCTGCCCCCACCCCCCACCCCCAAATAGCTGTACAAAAGAGCAAAGTGGATGCATCAGTTCCTAGGGATTAATCTCTCTGGTGGGCTTTTCTTCTTCTTCTTGCATGTAACCATGGCATTATGCCCATGTATCGTACTGTGTGTAATGAAACCGTGCCTTATTGTCTCCTGCACAGAGGCTGTGTGACATTCTGCTGCGGTGATAAGACAATGTGCAGCCACGACGACGGATGGAGGGCCATGGCGTGTTTCTCTCTGGCTTAATTCCCTTGCCCTACTTCTTCCTCTCCCCACCTCAAACTCATCCGAGCTGTGTGGTACCCTCAAGAGGACAAGCACAGAAGGAGGCAACGTGCACGAGAGAGAGAGAAAGAGAGAGAGAAGAGGCGGGGAGAGAAGAAGCAGGGAAGAAGGACCACTCCCTCCCTGGAAAGACCTTCACTCCTTCAGCTCACCCCATGCGATGCCAGGAAGCCATTTTGATGGAGTCACATGCCGTTTTGTAAGATGGCCGCATTGACATGAGGTAGGTTGCCACGGTGGCTGAATTTGTTACCGTGCAACTTCCTCTGAGCCCGCCCTCTCCTTTTTTCCCCCCTCCCCCATCTTGCTAATTAACAACCCAAAGGCAGAACAATAGGGCCAAGCTGGCACGTCCCAATTTTCCTGGTGCCCCTCCTCCTTTCAAGGAAGAAGAAGAAGAAAAAAAAAACAAAACCCCAATGCCTGTTCATGCTATTAATTGCGCAAGACATGCTCCCAGCTCGTCCTTTGCGATGCGTTTTGTGCCATGCCTGCGCTACCCATCCTGTGATTCCAAATTGAGGGTGTGGAGAGAACATTTCTTTTTTTTCTTTTTGGGGTGGGGTAGGGTGGGAGGAAGGGAACAAATGGGAGGCTATGAGGGAATGGAGCAGAAAGGAATGCCTTTTGTTTGCCTAAATGCAAATGAGGACGACTAAAACCCAAGCCGCTAATGATATTTAAATAAAGGAAATTAATTAAACGGGAATGATATACATCCCACGAACAAAATCCCTTCAAGAGAGATGGCAAACGTGTAGCTTTTGTCATTTTTGGCAGGAGGGAAAAAAACCCCGAACAATCTTGTAACAGTAGCATTTATTTATTTATTTATTAAATAAATAAATTTATTAAATAATATTTATTAAAACACTTCCCGCCCCAATGATGCACATACACGTACACACGTACACATACACAAACACACACATATGAAATGCAACTGTTTGTATGAAATGTATAATATATATTATTGGATATTACTTTCTTCACAAGGTTGTGTGGGCAATGGAGAAACCCACCTGTTTCTTTGTAAGGCTTTTACGAATGCCCACTCTAGTTGTGTTTTATTTATTTATTTATCATTTCCATCATAATCTTTCTCCACATTAAGATATTCAGGGTGGCAGGCAGCAAACCCCCCCCCCCAAAAAAAACAAAAAACAAATAAATATTATAGTTAAAAAAGGCAATATAGCAGCTCATTACTTCAGCGTGAATCAAAACTGCAATTGCTATTATTCCAAATGCTTCATCTTTTTTTTCTCCCTAAAGAGATGACAAAGGATAATTATTTGTTCTGCCTTTCAACCATAGAAAAGTCCATTTTCGGCTTGGTTTCTTCCTGCGATGGGTACCTTAAAATCAATAATGAAAGACAGAAAAACGGCTAAAAATCGCAGATTTACTGGGAAACAGACAGGGATGACAGTCTCAATTTAGTACAGAGGGAACATTTGTAAGCATGTGGTTAGGAAATCCTGTTGTTGTTGTTTTAAAAAAGTTTACTTTGGGAAGCAACACTTGGCGTCTAAGCAGTGTTGAAAAATACCCTAAAATGTGAGTACATCGGTATGCAAACTTAACGCTTTCTTTAGTTATAAAATAATGCTCTGTATGTATCCCCGTTTTCTAAAGATAAGTAGAAATGCAGTTTTGTAAAATTTTTAAGGGATGTGGTGGCTCAGTGGCTAAGACGCTGAGCTTGTCGAGCGAAAGGTCAGCAGTTCAGCGGTTCGAATCCCTAGTGCCGCGTAATGGGATGAGCTCCCGTTACTTGTCCCAGCTTCTGCCAACCTAGCAGTTCGAAAGCAGGTAAAAAATGCAAGTAGAAAAATAGGGACCAACTTTGGTGGGAAGAGAACAGCGTTCTGTGCGCCTTTGGCATTGAGTCATGCCGGCCACATGACCACGGAGATGTCTTCGGAGATGAGCTGGCTCTTCGGCTTTGAAATGGAGATGAGCACCGCCCCCTAGAGTCAGGAACGACTAGCACATACCTGTGAGGGGAACCTTTACCTTTAAGATTTTTAAACTCTTCGGGTGTTGCAGAACTTCTCACATTTTTTAATAAAAGTAAATACAGGTACTCCTCGCCTTACAGCCACAACTGAGCCCAAAATTTATGTCGCTAAGTGAAAGATGTGTTAAGTGAGTTTTGCCCCATGTTACGACATTTCTTACCACAATTGTTCAGTGAGCCACCACCATTGTTAATTTAGTGACACGGTCGTTAAATGAGTCTGACTTCCCCACTGACTTTGCTTGTCAGAAGGTCGCCAAAGGGGCGAATCACATGACCCTGGGACGCTGCAACCGTCATAAATATAAACCCACTTGCCAAGGGTCTGAATTTTGATCACATGACCACAGGGATGCTGCGACAGTCATAAGTGGGAAAAATGGTCATAAATCCCTTTTCTCAGTGGAATGGTCACTAAATGAACTGCTACAAGTTGAGGACTACCTGTAATGGCATGATTGTAACGGGTAGTTTTTTAGATGCTGTTCTGTTCTGAGAGGAAGGACGAGAGGTGTTTTATGAGAGATGGAGATGATGATGCTTTAGGGCAGGGGTCGGCAACCTTAAACACTCAAAGAGCCACAAAGGTCCTAACTGGAAGCCCCCATCCCCGCCAGTTCAATTCAGGAGCTGACCAGAAGTCCGGTTCCCCCATCATAGAGTCACCTCCTAGCTCGGTGTCCTTTTTCCTCTATCTGTCCTAACCGAAAGCCCTGTCAATTGTGGAGCTGACAGGTGACAGGGAGCCACAGCAGAGGGATGAAAGAGCCACATGCAGCTCCAGAGCTGCGGGTTGCTGACCCCTGCTTTAGGGAGAAACTCCAGTGTTCAAGCAATGTTTATTGTTCAGGAGCATTTTTATTTCTAATCAGCTGGCCAGATTTTCATATAAAGCCACTTTGGACCTTAAAAGCATTGGTGTTTTAAGCTGTGTGTGATCAAGGAGGAGAAGGGAGCCGTGTAAAGGAACTCACCACGTGACTGTTTTCCTAAACCAGTAGAATCCTGTCCAAATGCTTTTGGTATTTAAAGAACCATTTTAGAGCGATGATGAACTCACTCCCCCTCAAAATGACAGGCTTTCGAAAGGCACTAGAGGTTGGTTTGAATGTTTTTGCTTTTTTTTTTTTGTTTTGCATTAAATCGTTTTTCTCTCTAACCCCCCCCCCACTTTTCTGGTGATATGGCATTCAGAGAAAATCACTTTTAATAAGATCAGCGTTCCAAATTTGGAACCACATGCTACTGAGCTACAGCACCTGCAGTAGTGCCATTCAGCGTTTGCTTTTTTTGGGTGGGTGGGGTGTCTCTAAGGATTGAAATGTAGCAATATCTGGAAGCGATAGAAGGGAATATTGGTAGCTGAGGGTTTGTAACTGTGGGGTCCTTGGTGCTCTCTGAGCTTGGTGGTGGTTTTCTTGCAGATGTTTCCTTCCCAAACTAAGTAACATCGTCAGTGTCTCTGATAAGGTTACCTAGTTTGGTAATGAAATGTCTGCAAGAAAACCATCAAGCTCAGAGAATAAGGTCCCCTCAAGCAGTGGTGGGTTTTAGTTACCTTTGCTACTCGTTCGCTTGCACGCGTGCCACTTCTGCACATGCGCAGAAGCTTCTGCACATGCTCAGAGCATATTTGATGACTTCCAGGTGGAGCCTCCTGACGCCGCTACAACCGGTTCTCCCGAACCGGTGCGAACCGGCAGCAACCCACCGCTGCCTTCAAGATCTGGAAGATTGTAAGTCGCCTGCTTTAATGCATTGGTGCAGAGAGCAATGGAGCCAGTGATGAAGGATGGTACGGCAGGAGGTGCAAGGTGGCAATATTTGGCAGGGCCAAATTCTCTACTCGTGGTTGGCACACCCAATTCTCCAATAAGAAGTGGTTGGCTTAAAATTTTGGTTGGGTTATTTTATGGGGAAAGGGTTTTAAAATTTAGGGAAGCCAAACTGATTTAATTCTGTTTTAATTCTTTTTAATTTTTATACTGTATGTGTTTTAAATTTTGGCTGTTCACCGCCCTGAGTCCTTCGGGAGAAGGGCGGTATATAAATTTAAATAATAAATACATAAATACATAAATAAATAAATAAATAGCCACCTGAGTTGCCAGTTAAGGAGATGATCGCTCAATACAGTTGGAAAACACAACTGGAGAGCTGTAGCTGCATCCTTTTCTTTTAAACGGGGCTTAGCAAGGAAAATTAAATCATTTCAAAAAGAATAGAAACAGAATGATTAAAGAATAGAATCTGTGTGCCCAGGTAAAGTTCTTTTGGTCCGACGGAGTCCCAGGATGACAATTTCTCTGTTGATCTGGCCAATCTCTTAAACTGAATTACAACCAGTTCAGTCAGGCTGTGCAAAACCAGCCCCTCAATTTAGTTGATAGCAGCCTATGTTGACCAAAACCTAAGAGATGAGTAAATTCCATAAACCGTGGTTAAGTTAACCCTGGGTACACCTGTTGTGTAAATGTATAGAAAGGATAGTATTTAGGCTATTCTAGGAAGAGCATTTATGCAGATTGGTTAAAGGAGGAATAAACCAGAGCATAAGTCTAGCCAAGCTGCAACATGGCTCCAAATTGATCGCTAAGCTTTCCAGAGACTTCATTTAAACTATTGCTACAAATGCTTCAAATGTCCATCTTAAATTAAATTAAATTATTGCTGAGAGTTTCCCTTTGGCTGTGTTTTCCCCTCTGTTGACTGGACTGCCCATCTGAAATGCATGTTTTGATTCTCTCTCTCTCTCTCCCTCTCTCCCTCTCTCTCTCTCTCTCTCTCTCTCTCTCTCTCTCTCTCTCTCTCTCTTTCTTTTGCAAGATCAATAGCATCTATAACTACAGTAGATTTTAAAAAAGGGTTGACGTTATAATTGGATGAGCTACCCCCATAAGGTGTTTTACAGGCTGGTTGTAAAATTGTGAGTGGATAAACACACTATAAATAGTGTTGGGTTTTTTTGTTTTGTTTTGTTTTTTTGGGGGGGAATGGGGATGGTGAAGGAGGAAATACATTTCAGTGAGGCCTCTATCCTCTTAAGCAGAGCTGGCAGTGTAATGGAGCTGGCAGTTAGCAGATGTGGCAGCTTTTTTTTCACTGATCAATCTGCCTTTACAAGGATGCTTCTCGACACAATAGATGTTTATCTGCCCTCCTGTTCCCTTCCCTTCCTCCTCCTTTTTCTGTGCTCCCTT